GTATTTCCCATTTAAAAGTGACTATTGCTATTACATGAAATTATGTTGCAACCTACCTCAAATTGCCGCACTTTTGGAGCATTTCGCTTAAATCTTGACCACTTAAATCCTGGCTGGCAGTTCAAGTTATTCTACTGCCGCAAGCACGGCCAGATTTAACATTGCATATGTTGATTTTGATGCATATATTATTTAACACTCTTGCGCTCAACAACTGATGGGAAAGCACACATAATAACCATAGCTCGAAGCGTGTTTGAAGCCAGCTGCTGGTCATTTCGAGTGTTTGCACTGAAAATCGACAGTTTTTCAATGGTGCTCTCGTGTTAAGTGAAAAAGCGTACTTTTTCTTCAATTAATGTTTAATTTAAACTCGCCTGTGGCCGGGTAAATAATGTTTTTGGTTGCGGATGCTGGGTGTCGGGGGGGAATGTTATTCACCACCTGAAAAGCGGTGAGTTGGAGAAAGCAACAGGTGGAAAATGACTTTCTAGTTTTCCATTCCATTTCCTCCTTTTCGCATACTTAAGAGCAAAAATCAAACTCAATGCGCTTGTCAAATAAATATTACGCACACACACAAAGGGCACATTCGCTTAGTCACACACAAGCACACTCGCACACACACGTATTCGGAAGCGGAAGCTAAATGCTATAAAAGCGCACTCCCACTTCCGTTTCCTCCCCTCCCCCCGCCCATTTCCCCCTTCCCACGCCCCACTGTTTGCGCTACGTTTTCAGTTGAAAGGCAAAATTAACAATATGCAAAATTCATGTTAAAATATCGGAAAAATATATATTTCTTTCCTGCGCGCAGCAAGCAATCCCTTTTTCCTCGCCCCCCTCGCTCCCCTTTTTCTGCCGCCTTTGCGCTCTTTTCGTTTGGGTTGGCAGCAGAAATAAAACAGCAAAAACGAAATAACCAGGAAACGGGAGGAGTGGATAATTCGGCAGATCGAATAGTAAATGTCCTCGGAAAATTCGATAAGCATTTATCGATTTTTCAGTGAAAGATGTGTGGAGCTTATTATATTTTTATGATTTATTCTATTTTAAAATATTGAAAATAAATCAAAAACACTTTAATCAAATTGAGTAAATAAATATATTCACTTTGAATGCCTTGAACAATTATAAGGATAATAGCAATTTATGCAGTTCCTTACCAGAATGTAATTGAAAATTTCATAAAATGTTAGTTTTGATCCAAAATTCAAAAGCAAATAAGAGTTATGAAGAAGAATGTATATTAATATAGATAGACAGATATCGAAAATGAAGGTTAAGGTCCTAAAAGCAGACAAGAACAGATCAATATCTGTAGGCTTATATCCCTGAACTTCCATAATATATGGTTGCCCAGACCTCGTTTAGAGTATTTGGCGAAAAAAGGCATTAAAGGGTTGTGGGTGTGTTTTTCTGGCGGGGAATGGGCTTGTTGGAGCGGCTTTCATATGCTCCATGCCAGCAATAAAAGTGTAACTCCTGTTGTTGTTGCCCATGTGGATGTTGCTACTGTTGTTGTTTCGATGCCATTGAATGAATGAATGAAAGCGTCGACCCATCGACGACTCAACTTCCACGAGATGTGAATCGCATCGAATCGAATCTCGAAATTCTTTCGGCCCGGCAAAGTGAGCGCCAATATATATCCATCGAGATATACGTATCCAGAGGGCGATGTGTGTGGATATAAAAATACAGTTATCTGTTCTATCGGAGCATTTATAAATATTTGTTTGCCTCAGTTCTCGATATGCACATGCACATTAACCAGAGGAGCCAAACCAAAGCAAAGCGAGCCGAGGCCAGCCTCCAGCAGGATCTCCGACTCCCTTCTGCCTGAGTTATTGAATTGGGCTTTAGTCGTGAGCGGGTTGCCGACCTTTTGGCCCCGTATCCAATCCAATCCCACCGAATCCCCATCCGTGCCATCCCTTTAACCCCTGGGATGTGCTGCTGACACCCCAAAGAAACGGGACAAAAACTCCTCGCAACCTTTCCCACTGCTCTTTTGTTCGACTACGGTCTTTATTTGAATTGTTTGGGCATAAGTATGTCAAATTTCAAACCATTTACTGGATCCGGCCAGTGCATAAAAGCGGCACAAAAACTGCAAAAAGTATTGGGAGCTGGTGGTTTTAAAGCGTCTTTGGGGGTTTCGTTGGGCCAAGGTCAGGGGCTCAGGGCTCGCCGGCTGCGAAATTTAAAAAATATTATATTTATGAACAGATTATGTTGCCGAGTGAGATATTGTAATAAAATGGGTGTATTTTAAATATTCAAAGGGTCAGTCATCACATTTCGCATACGCTCAGGCAGTCGTTAAGAGTAATTTTAATTACATATTTAATAATCGCATTAAGGTTATTTTAATTGAATGCGGAGGCAGTTTTTAAGAAGGGGCTGTTTTTACATAATGTGGAACCTCTCATATATATGGAAGACATATATAGTTATGAGGCAACAGTAGGTAACAGTAGATCCCAGTTTAAGGCCATGAAACGCACTGTAGCCCTCCGGAAAAAAGTTTATGGTAAAATTCTATTGGAAAAAATCAAATTAACTTTCTCGGCATGTACATGAAAGGTTACGAAAGTTTAAAAACTATCTCCACCAAGGACATCCCACCAACTCCCTGCGGCCCAGCCACCCCGCCTCCTCAAGGTCATCTGCCAACAGAGCGTTACACAAACGCAATGGAAATGGGAATAAAAAATCAAAAGTGAAAAAGAATACGTAGAATTTCATTTTCAAATTGCACCCCAGTGACACATTTAGCCGAACTCCTAACCTTTCACCCGCCTGCAAGCCCCAGCCTCTTCTCTTGGTACCCCCATAACCCATCTTCCAGCGGGACACTCCCAAGACAATCGAAAAACTTTCAGTCGACTTTCCGCTTCTCGTTCCCATTTCTGGGAGTTTTCATTGTTTTTCTTACGACTCATTTCACGTTTTAATTTCTAGGCGTTGCGCCGACTTTCTGCGTCATTTGACACCGACGACAAAAATTTGTCGAGCAGTTGGACGGGATGAACTGGATAAGTGCACGGAAAGAAATATCATCGCAAACTATATATAGAACCAAGAAATTCATGAAATTTAAAAATAACAAATTATTTATTTGAAAATAACACATTAAGTTTTATGGCATATTACAAATAATGGGATATTTATCAAATTACAGGTTTCAATATGTATATTTTTATACTTATACTAAAAATACTGAAAGTAACTAAACCTTTGTAGAAGTTTCTTTGTCATCCATAGCTTACTAGACTTCTCATCAATATAATACATAAATTTAAAATCTTGTTATTTTCTCTCTATGTCTATTAAGGACTTTAAATATTTGTCTTTGCTGGTACTTGCACTAAAAATCCAAATTGCTTGGCTCACTAAGAGTTCAATTACGAGCAGCTCGTGGAGGGTAATAATAGAGTGGGATGATGATTAGGATGATGGGGCCAGATGATGGCCCACATTGATAGCAGCTGCGATTGATGAGTTGGGGTGGGGATTCGGCGGAAATGATCTAAGAGGTCTAGGTCCCGCGTCCAGCAATTGGTTTAAATTTTATTTATGAGCTGCCATCAAATCAGCATAAGTAGGTTAAACGCAAATGTCAATCGTAAATTCGCTGACTTCCAGCCACGCCCACCACTCAGCCCCGATTCCGGCGCCCCCAGTAAAGCGGCCAAATAAATTAAATTGTCGCCCTGTCGCCGCAGCTGAGCTGAAATGCTAACCAAAGTACGTGCCACCATCGATGTGCAGCATCTCCGCCAGAGAACCAGAGCTGACATCTCCCCATCCTTCCGCGGGAAGCCGGAATGCGAAAAAGTGTTCCGCAATATTTCATAAAGTGGAGACGGACGGCATGGGGGCTGGAGCAGCTTTATAGAATTAGCTAATGCTGACATAGATACCCCAGAAAGGAACCTAATCCCGGGGCATCGTTTGTTTAGCCTAAATAAGGAAAAACCACGCCAATTGTAACCAGCAAGGGGGGATGGAAAGTGTGAAGAAGGTAAGTGGGGAGCTCCAGGATGAGAGGCTACCAACTCCAGATGGACACGCTAATTGGCATTTCGGACCAGGCAAAAGTTACACAAATTTTATTATTTTACCTTAATAACCGCCCTTGATAGAAAGTTACACTAAAAAAGTTAACAGGATTTAGGTACGATTTTCAGGGTAAAAAAAATCAGCGACGAATTAGTAATAATTTGATTATCCATAAATTCACACTTAATTCCAGCAGAAAAAGCTAATTCGATTATCGTACTATCATCCTATTAAATTGGATTAGTTAACGTTAACATATTAGTAATACATTATTGATAAGTAGCTTTTGCTCTACATTTTTGCTTACTTAAATGCAAACTTATGGTTTAGAATTTAAATTCATGATGGTAAAATCATAATAGAAAATGGCTTTGAAGGTAACTTAAAAGCTCGACTGGCTAGTAATCCAACCAGCACAAATAACCATAAGATAAAGCCTTTTAGGCAAGGAAAACCCACTCCCAGTCGGGAAAACTTCACTGAAGCACCGTTCTATAAAACAAAAGCGATGGGATATCAGATGTGCTAAACATTTTGTTACAATGCTGTTCACATAAAAGTGAAGTCCTTGGTTGGCAAATCTAACCAAAGGAATCTTTACCGCATTCATGGTCGTACTCAAGAGGGTTGTGGGAAATCCATTGGACCTGGTTATGGGAGGTGTCGAAAAAACCTGAGAGGAAGCATATGAAACTTTAAATAAGAAACTTTAATAGAATTGTATATATATTTCTAAGTATTCTGGACTTCAATCAAAATTGTAAGCAGTTATTTAATACACATACGCAAATATGTAATATATGTAAATGTAATAAAATACTTTTGAATAAATAACCCCCTAGGGGTCCATCAAAGGCGGTACCACGAACACACACTCGCTGAGGGACACGTGTTCATCTAAGTCTTCCAGTTAAAACTCAAGCATTTCTCACTAATGATGAGGGTGCGCCATCATCATCCACACCACACAGGTCTGGGACACCCCGTCCCCGCTCTCCACCAGCTATTCTGGCCACTGTCTCCACACTTGTCCTTAGCCTGGTTAAACCTGTTAACGTTAACTTTTGCTCCAGCCCCTTCTGGGTCCCCGCCTCCACACCTCCAGTCCTGCAATCCTCCATCTGGGGACAAATTGATGGAGCCTCCTTTGGGGCTCCCTCGGCTCAGTCGTGCGCACTTGACCACACATTGGCGCATTGTCACGCGCCGGGCTCTCCAGCCCCCCTGAAACCCCCTTCCGTCGCCGCCCCTGTCACATGTGAGTGACCCACCAGCATATTCATCAATAGAGTAGCAAATGCTTCCATCCACCCCCGTTCGCTCCTTTTGGGTTAACAAAAAATCTGTTAAAATAAATCACAACAATTTGTACATTTTCGCCTCGTTGGAGTCTGCCTCGCATAAAGGGGGTTTTCGGTTTTCGGGTTTTCCGGGGGTTCCGGGGGTTCCGGGGGTTCCGGGGGTTCCGGGGAGTTAGTTTCCCACAGCGGCAAAGATGATGGCAGAGGCGACACATGGCAGCCAGCAGGAATTCTTGAGTTCGGAGGGGACAACGTCTTCGCTTGGCTTGATTTTTTGGGCGATTAAGCTGTCATCTGGCTGCGGGTGGGTGTTGCCCGCCCAGCCAGGGGCGTCGTTAACGGGGGTGGATAACTATAGTTTCTAAAATGTTTAATTGCAAGTCTCAGTAGTGCGTGACTTGGTGTATCTGCCAAGTATGTGAAGAACCTTTCACACCTACAAAAATTTTATGATCACTGTATTTTAAATTGCTAATATTTAAACCTAGTAAAATAGGTAAAAGCAGCTCAACAAAACTATAAAATTAATGAGCAATACCATTAAGTTTTAAAGCCCATGTTAAATAAACAAATATTTTCCAATCCTCTCAGAAACAATATTTACTTATTGAATGATGAAATGGTATAGCATTGAAAAATAAATAACTGTAATAGTTATTATTTATTTATTTTTGATTGATGCTGAAGTAAAAAAGAGGATGTGACAAATCAATTAGCCTTTCACTTTACATTGCCATGGCTCTTAGGGGTGTCCCCCCTTGAGCACCGGCCATGTCCCCGTATACGTGACCTCAGTTACCTGTCCTTCGGTTAGGGCTGCGTGGGCGTTGACCTGCTCAACTTATGACAGCTTTGATTGCAGTCAATTTATTAGCAGCTTGCCGCCGAAAGAAATCTGTTTGCCAAAGGTGAGCCGAGTGCTTGGGCTGGGTCGAGGGGCGATTATGTGTGTTGTACAAATGTCAGTCATAATTGCTTAATCCCGCTTTTTAATTAGCCGCCACCTGTGGCCACCACATCCGAAAATAAACAAAGCAAAACAAACCGAAACCAAAACCAAACGAAGCCAAGCGAGTCAAACAAAAAATTCCTCACGCAAAAAAAGCCGTGAATGTTTGCCGGGATATGCTTAAAACCCTATTACCATGGTAATCCTTTTGACAAATGAATTTTAGCACGGCCTCACACACACTCATATGCACAGAGCAAAAAAAACGAAATTAAGGGAGAAAAATAAAGTCAAATAGGTACTAAAAATACTTATGTAACAAGGCATTGTACAAAACGTTTACCATCGCATATATAGTTTTCCGATCCGGAGAATTTTCATACTTAATATGCGTTTTGATAAAAAACGACGAGTGCTTTAGATTTACTTTGATATCTTTAAAATTTAGGGAGTTATTAATTTTGGCCAGAAAAACTATTCTAAATCTTCATAGTGCAATGTAGTAAGCAAAGATGGAACCCATATATTTACACGCAGTTACTGTGCATTGTAAAAACTACATACGAACTAAATTAATTCTGCGGCCAAGGCTCTAATCTATATATCTATAAGTAAGAAGTCCTTCTAGATGGTTTGTTATTCTTGTTAATATTGCTATAACTTATATTTGTTTTCTATTTATGTTTAGAGTTGTAGACAATTGTTTCATCTATGAAATTGTGTTGTCTTTTGTGGGATTCTTTGGTACACATAACAGGAAAGTATTTGGATCTTAGGTTAAGGAACAGGGTTCATTTGGAGGGAATCTAGTCTTAACATATATGTTTTACATTAGGTGTTTCAAAAATATTTTAGCTCTTGTATCAGTACCTGATATGTGTTTCTAAAATATAAATCTGAAAATATTTTTTTAAGTGCACACACACGCGGACTCACGCATACCCGCAAAACTCGCACCTAGACAGCTCGCTGTCACAAGAGTAGAAGGAGAATAGACAGACACCGACAGGGAAGGAGGCGCGAAAAAGTATGCTATAAAATCCGTATGCTCAATGTCACCTCTGCGGGAGTGTGTCCCACTTTCATGTGCCTTGCATCATAGTCAGGACATGAAATCCAAAACCATTTGGGAGTTGGCGTTCAACAGTGATTCGCTTTTGGATAATTTGCGGTTTTCCTTGGCCATCCGTCGCCCGTCAATCTGGATTTTGGTGAAACATTTCAAAACAGGTTTGATTTTTTGGGTCTGAATGTGTACTTTAATACACCTGTGTTTGACATAAAGCTGGGAAAAAAGTTTTTTACCCGTTACTGGTAGATAAAAAGTGTGTACTGAGTTTATGGGAAGGTACACAGAGAAACTAAGATTTATTAAAATTTCGTTTTTAAATGTCAATATACAACAAAGCATTTTAGAAAAAATTTGTAGTCATCCAACCTGTGAAATGATTTTATAAATCTGTGTAATACAAAAGCTTTTTCAAATCAAGCAATATTACTACAATGCCTATATAACATGCGAAGTTCTTTCATTTTAAAGTATTGTTGGCTAATAAACATTAGAAAATAAATATTTATTCGTACACATTTTAAGTGGTTGCATTTTAAGTTTGAACAAGTTTGAACTGTCCACGAAAGTGCTAACTTTACATTAAAATTGAACATATACATACACTCGCGGGAAGCGTGGTGTGATGGCCCAAATGGTTAGACATCTGCCTCTGACGCGAAAGGACCCCGGTTTGGCGACATACTAAGGCAGAGTAAGACAAAAGTTTATAAGAAGCATAATTAACATTTCCTTAAAAATCATAACAATAATATTTTATTAAAAAAAGTTGTCAGATTACTTATTTAAGAAAAGGTACTAGACCCTGACACTTGCCCCCTGAGCCATGCCCATAATATTTTCATTCGTAGCAGAATGTTTGTGTGTGTGTTTCTTTGTGTTTTTTTTTCACTAAAACGAAAAATATTTGCATTTTAAACATGAAAATAAACATTTTATGATCTCATTTAAGAGCAAAACCTTTTAAAATTTAAAGCAACACATTTTGGATGCATAAAAAGTGTCGAAACACTTTAAAAAGTATAGCGCTCCATGCGAATTCTCTCTGCGTATATAGCAGGTAGAAGAACGCGTTTCCGACTCTATAAAGTAAACAATAAAGTAAAGTCTTAATCAGGATCAGTTGTCTGCCTGTCCGCATCAACGCCTTTATCTCGGAAAGTATAAAAGCTCGAAAGTTTGGATTAAATATACAGATTTTGGGGGTTCCTAAACAGCGCAAAATTTATTTTTCTTACCGCCCACCAACGCCCATATCGCAAGGGTCTTAAAGATTTTAAACGGTTAAAAAGACCTTGCATGGTCAAGAGTTAATAAATATCCCCTCGAATCTTATTTTAAAATTTATCAACCGACTAAGCACGGTTTCTTGTTTTAAAGTTGGCTAGCTGAGTAACAAATATCTAATAATTATCAGATTAATTATCGGGGGTTGGTTAATTCTTAATTACAAAACTGAATAATATATTTAATCAAAAAAAATGTTTAAAAAAGTATATTTAAATTGTAAGTGCGCACCAAGTTTTACAAAACTGAAATGAGCTTGCTCCAGTTAAGGCCACGCACTTTCACTCGCTTGACTTTCTCTCGCTTCCCAGAAAAAAGGACCCTCACTCACACTTTCAATTACTGAAAATAAAATATAAACATGTTCATATACGAGCTTATATTTGTACAACGTTTTGATGCAGCAGCGACTTGAGAGCAATAGAAAATGAAGCGCCGCATGACATCCACCATGGAGCTTTTGGCACATACAAAATAGCTCCTTTGATGCGTGAGCAGAGCGATCTACCCAAGGAGCTGCCCCCCAGGAGCTGGAGCAGAGTCCTCGAATATATTTTTGTTTAGTTGCGTGGCACGCACAATCCCAAAGCGGACATAGAATAAGGCCCTGAACCAGGAAGGGCTCCTTACTTCGCCTCGGCACGGTGGAATTGGGAAGTAATTATAACTATCTACCTGTTATATTTAAAATAGTTGTAATTAACTGGTACATGCACCTGCAGAACATGTTGTATAATTTAACAAGTGAAAATATCTATATTTAAATATTTTTTTACTTACTTCCACGTTAATAAATAACGTAGTTCGACCATTAATTACCAGCATATTCATCTGATGGGAGCCATAGTCTATATAAAGAAACCAAAATTAATTTCCTAAGAACATATACCATTTTCGTCATAATTATTTGGCCAAATGGTATGTTCTACCACTGTGCTCGGTGCCTCAAGGAGCTCCTGGGCCTGCTGCTGCACGGCGGGTGGCCAATTTCTGGGTAGCAACTTGCCATACATCAAAAATCTTTCACTCACTTTCGGCTGCCGCTGATGCGCGGGCAATAAAATATTCATTTGGCGCCTTTCTGGGGGGCGATGCAACTTTCAAAGGAGTTCGAGAAGGGGCGGTGCTGGGCCACGCCCTCCCATTCATGTCCTGGGATCGGGGATTGACACTTCAGCCAGGAGCCGGCACCCCTTATAAAAAATGTAATTTTCAAACAGAGGAAGAACAAAAAAATATATGCATTGATGTGGGAGGGGGGAGGCAGGGTCTCGGGCTGGAAAATAAGAAAAACATTTGAAAATTTCAAATTGAATTTGCCGCACGCTTGAAGTTTTGGGTTCCCCGCGCCCAAACCCGCGACGAGATGTATGCAAAAGGCGTTGCCAAGATTACCAAGTGAAAGACCAGCCGGCACACATAAAAGCCAGCGAAGGGGCTGGCTAAAAGGGGCTTTGAAACATGGCCAAAAGTGTAAGTGACATGAAAGCGGGCCCACAAAGCGCACACAAAACC